GCATCTCACAATTACTGCATAAATAACTTGAAAACTGTTACATAATTGGCAAAGTTCCAGTAATTCGTTTTTGTTTTGGATAAGATGGAGGTGGGGCATTGTGTAGAGTAGGTGTACCTTAAAACCATTTGACCTTCGACCTTCAACCCTTTGTATGCCAAAATTAACTTCTGTTACCTTTTATAGAATAAACATGCATAATTTTTTGGCAGATTTTTCAAATTTTTTGATCAAGACCAATAGCCAATAAGAAATCATATCCATCTGGACCAAAATTAATAAATAATTTTTAAAAAAATACATAAAAATATGCAAAATCTTGCACCAAATTTTTTGGCAGGAAAAATGTTGTTTTTAAGGGTTAGGTACATTATCATAATGTAACATTTCACAGGAATAAACTTTATAATTCAGTTAATATTAAAACTGACAACTCAGTTTTTGATCATGAGCTCTTAATAGAATTATGCAAAAAATAATCACACTTTGTGAAATTCCATGTCTGGCAGTAATATCAATTAACATAATTGAATTGTCACCAAAGAGAAGGCAGAACAAGGCGGGGGAGGGGAGCATGATGTGATGACTCTATCGCTGTCTAAAATACGAGCATGGATTAATAACCAGATAGATACAGCAATAACCTAGCAGTTGACAATAGGTGATTTTCTGCAAATTTGCGAGATCTCGCGAGATTCATGAAAGACGCGTGTCGAACGTCTGCCGCAAAAATCGATTTGATTTTGAACTCGAATTTCTTTATTTCATAGCTCACATCGACCGGTCAATCTCCGACAGAAATATTGCTTCCGAATACCCTTACTTAATCAAAATTGTCTATCATCAAATGTGGACAGCACATTATTAAGCATGGTAATGTCCCCCAAAATACTTTCGCGTTTGTTGAATCCTACGCGATGTTTGACGCCACTACGACGCAATGACCTTTGTTTGTCCTGTTTTTACGTTCGATTTCATGCATAACGCGCGATTCTCGCAGTGAACGGAAAATGGTCTATTTGCGTGGTAACAGACATAAAATCAAATTTGTATCATGTGAGAGTGGCTTGAAAATTAGTGCTCTTGTAAAAAGATTTCAAACGTTTGACAGAACATCTTGGAAGTTTCCTGGAATGATATTACAATTGCAAACTACATGGAAATATCAGAAATAAAAGGATCTTTGCCAAATTGAGTCACAGTTAACAATATTCACAAACGTTCTGTTATTATATAATGCTTTTTTTATATTAAAAATGTTCCTTTGTTTTGTTTTTTTACAATGAGGTAGTATCCACACCAATTAGGCACACTATCTAATCGTTTCCGTCAAGAATACTTTTGACATATTTTTATAAATTTTTACATTCTTTAGCAGTTCCAGAAACTTTATAAATATTTTTTCATAAATGCACACAAATTCTTGCATCCAGAATTGTTGGATTCTTTGAACTTAAACAATGGACTTGAATCTTTGTTTATTTTTTTTTGCCCCAAACACTGTTTTGTTTTGTTTTGTTTTTTAACAAAATATAAGATTTTAAATGTGTCAAACTTTGTTGTTGTTGTTGTTGTTGTTACTTGGGTCATCTTGCCATTTGTCGAGCGATCTTCGTCGCGCGTTCATGAAGAAGTTACTGACTGTACTGAGTTCTAAGCCAAGCTGCTGTGCTATGGTAATCTGCATCTCTTTGGACGGTCTCTTCGTTTCTTTGAAAATGGCATGAAGCGTACGGCGTTGTATGTCGGTAAAAACAAGTCGTGGTTTCTTTGGCATGTTTTGCTGCACTGGGTTTTTTGTTTCTTCTTCTTTTTTCTTGCAGGCTGTAATGATAAAATGAAACAGAAAGAAAAATTTAAATACGATGTAAAATTAATATGAGGTACGGTGGCAGTACGGTGATCAAATCATTCTCCGTGCGGCCCAATACAGACTTCTCAGTATTTTTTTGACACCGCTTAAAGGGCGGCAGACGTCACACCGCGTCCTGATCAATATGGGACTCATAGCGACGTATACAACACATGTAAATTATATTGTTTATTTGCATGAAATTCAAACACACGCTGCGCGACGACCAACGCGCTTGTATAGTAAACACCTCTGCTACTACCTATTTATTGAAATATAGCAATCTGAAATGGGGTAGGGGAGTATTTACACGATTCATGTCATTGAAAACTATTTCCGACACATTCAACATAATTCTTGCGTCTGATGAAAGGGAAAATGTCCAGATACGTTGTAAATTAAATACGGCTCACATTTGCAATGAATGTATGTATCTGTAACATAATCGAACACATTTTCATGCATGCTTTTTAAAGCAAACAGCATTTAAACATAATATACTCTTTATAGTAAGAAATATGTTGATTTTGGCAATTATATTATCATTGAAATTTTAAATGTTTTTTTGGGGGGTTTTTTGTGAAATTAAAATAGCAATTATGCAGTTCACTTGCATCAACCTTTGAACTCCCTCTTCTTTTACCAAGTCATCACTCATCCACAGTTTATCTTCACCCCTCAGTTGGCCTGTTGTTCACTTCACTGTTCCCACTCCATCCATCATTTGTTGTTTGCCATTCAGTAATTTCTATAACCGAGTTATCCCCCATCTTTTCTAATTCGCCTTAACATCTAACTCATCCCAATTAGTAGAAATTTTTATAGGATGCGTATGCCAATATTCCAATGATCCTCCACACTGAAACATTGTCCCCTCCACACTCACCCACCCAACCACCCACCCACACCCACACCCACACCCACACACACACACACACATACATACATAAACTGAAGCAAATTTTGCAGTCAACATCTTCACACCAAATAAGATACCCCCCCCCCCTTTCACTACATAATGCTTACATGTACCATTACATTGTTATTTAATAGACTCCTCGCAATGAAAGAGACGTTAATAAACGTAACCAGGCAGTCATAAAAAAAAACATAATTTATTTACGGTTTGTTTTGACGTTTAACCACTTAATGTTGCATAGCTATACCATATGCTTATATATTGCCTATACCTTATGTGATTTTAATACAGTGTTAAATTCATAGCGGACTCGTATAAGCATACGCTAAACCAACAACGATCGTACATGACTATTTTAACAATATTTTACATTAACGACAGGCATTCACCTTAGGATAAAAATTATAAAATTTTACATCCCATTAAATTGCCAAAATAATTATGAAATGGTAATATGGTTTAATATCTTAACACACTGTTTAAAAAAAATGAAAAAAAAAAAGATGTTTAAACTCTCCTGGAGAGTGAGTGGTTTATAGCAACCTGCAAGATCTCTCACTAAACTTTATTCAGCTGTGTTCAACCTTTTTAGAGAAACACTATGTAGAGAGTAAACATCCTCTCTCCTCCTTGTTTATTCTAATCTAAGTCGCCAAATGGTTGCTGCATTTATATTTTAATGTTTCACTATTGTGTTTTATTTAGTGAAAAAAAAAAGAAAAAATTAAAAAGAAAACTAATAAAGGAATAATATGATAATATACCGGTGATACTCAAAATGTTCAGATGTGAATATGATTTTTTTTTTTTTTTATTTGGTATATAGGGCTACAACCTCTGATGTAGAGTTTGACAACTTGTACATTTCTAGTCAGGAATTTGGTCCTCATTTGCTACTAAATCCAAAAAATTTAGTTCTATTTTGTATGTGCGTGTGAAAAACCATCTGTCAGGTTCCCTAACCTTTTAATTAGCACATGGTCCCGACACTCTTCGTCCTCATTATCTATTTTTCTCCCATCTTCTAATGTCATCTTCTCCTGAATCTTACTTTTATAATTTATTATTTCCTGCTTTTCATCGCACATCTTCTCACGATTTTTTCAAATATCAACAATTATTTTTTTTAACCAAACTGCCATCTTTTCAATGTTTTCTTCTCTTTTTAGCAAGTCTGAGATAATTCCAAACTCATTGGGAAACAAGCTTTCGGTCTTCATCACTGAGCAATTAGCCCCCTATGATTCACTCTTGCCTGTTATCTGTCACCAACACCTGCTAGCTTTGTTAGCTTTCTCTAACCAGCATAACTCTTCCCCTATTTTGATTCAGGTGAAACCAATTGAGATGACAAACATCAAGCACTATACTAAGATTTAAATTACCGTAGTGCTGAAAATAAAATTTATTCAAAAAATACAAATTCATTTTTTTTTTCACAATTTTATTCATCATTTTCGTAAACAAATACAGTTTTTATTTTTTTTAGGTCTGCAACTTATGGATGAGGGACTATGAAAGAAAACCCTTTAATACTCCCCCCCTTTCATTCCTCCCTTGGGAGTTTTCTCACATGGTTAGTCTCACACCACAAAGATACTGTTTAAGGACAGTAGTATTCACATACTAGGATCATTCAGAATACAGATAAGTCACTGGAAAAACCGGAAGTCGAGACAATCGTGACCAATGAATTGAATGGGTTGTCATCAATAATTGACGTGCACTCAGTGTACAGAAACAATAGCGGAGATGCTCCTTGGTAAATAAAAGGGGTCTTCATTAAATAAGAGGTAAGAAGCTTTTAATAGACAAAAAGATTAACATAATTTTGGTCAATAGGTATGGTTTTATTGTACTTATTTTGTTTGTGTTTCTTCAATTAGAAAGCATGCCAGACATGGGCCACCTGACATCAAAATACACCAATAAAAAAGCAATTGTCAAAGCTTTTACAAGTTCTTTTCTTTGATTGGTTTATTACTTTTGTGTAAATGCATGCAACCAGACACATCGAATTACAATTAGATTTTAATTCGTCCTCCAAACACAATTTTTTTTTTTGTTCCTGTGGCGATGACGAAAACATTTTTTTACTACATGCGCAATTTTGAGGTACATTTTGTGACGCATTTTAATGTACATAAATACATTAAAAGAAAAAGATACGACATAACACCCCCTCATCCCTCAGTCACTTCTACTACCATTCCATTTTCCAAGAATAAAATCACACAAAATTCTGGATGAGGCAGCCAACTTATTTACCGGTAAAGAAAAAGACTAGAAATTGCATGGTTACGAGGGGACAGCTGGAGCCTTCGTAGGCAGCCAGCCAGCCAGCCACCAGTGGCTACTGAGAACAAGCTCTACTGTACACATCGCTGGTAGGAAAGACCTCATAATTGACTCAACAATGAAATAGCTAATTAATGCAGCACGTACGACACAGTATATTTTCCAAGGTGGTCTCTGACATCTGTCTATTATACCGGTATACGGTCACATTTAAACATAAAGGAAGTAAACATTAAACTCCTCACAAAAAGCTACATCCAATCAAATTACACAAACTGGATTATTTCCAGAGATTACAAGTGTTGCAGGTCTTTCATAAAGGAGAACAAATTGACTAAACAATGGCAGGCTCAGTGCATACAAGTTGTACAAATGCTTAATTCAAACCAGATTATCATGTTGAAAACTTTGGCTCATTCCGTGATTTCAATACATTCCCAATTATATTTACGAGAAAAGAAATCCTTCTTCCTACCATCCTTCTCTATATTGGAGTGCATACAAGACTTCATTCTGCTTATCCAAAAAAAAAAAAAAAAAATAATCCAAATTGTCTCATAATTTTTAATATAAAAAATTTAATATTTATTATATTTATTTATATTTAGTTTATTATAGTATTCTCAATCATGACTATACTAGAAAATATGAGTAATAAAATTAGGAGATTTTTCAGAAGAAATATAAATTATAAACAAATAAAATAGCAGTTCATGCACTTTAAGGTTGGTTCTGTGAAGAATGCTTGCTTTGAGAAGTGTATAATTATTGCAAAAAAAAAATGGTGGAAAATATCATATTTCATATGTTTGTATACTGCGCTTTTTAATAAAAATTTGTGAGTGGAATAAGTAATCAGTTTTATTGTCTAAAACTAAACTTTAATAAAAATAAAGACAAAAATTAGATGAAAAGGCCTGATTGGCCAACAGAATTACTTATTAGAATTTTTTTCTAAAAAATGCTAAAACTGTGAAATTAAAAATGTGTAATAATAAGGAAATTCGCATCAGATTTCTAAAAAGGGGAAGATAATTTTAATAATAATTATGGTTTACAAAATCTCAAACCTATCAAAATAAGGACTTTTGACCCAATGTGCCCCTTGACAAGTCATACATATAGTCTGGTTTATACATCGGCACAACTGGCCAAACAACGAGAATATCAAGTGTTTGCTAGCCAATAGTGGAGTTTACCCGTTCATTCTACGCTTCCATCGCACAGTGACAACTCAGTTTGATCACCTGCTGGAATTGTCTTTTATTTCTTATCTTCATGGATGCAATCCCCTCACAGACAATATACAGATGTATGTATTCAGCTCATATTATCAAAACATGTGCGTCTAAGAGAAAATTAATTCAAATACTTGAAGTGATACAGTCTCGTTCCCATTTTTGCAATTTATTATTCTTCTTCTCCCCAGGGGGTGATGGGTCTTTTGAAGTTAAAACTTTGTTTTTAACAGAAAAAAAATTATGTAATTTTACACGTAACCGTTATAAAAAAAAATACATTTTAAATAAATGTTAACTACTCAAATTATAGATGTACATAAAGCAACTCTTCTTCATTACTGATCACCATGGATACCAGCAACATCCAATGAAGCACTATCAAACTGCTGCATTTGAAAACAGAAATTAAAAAAAAAAATTCCAAGAAGCCCTGAAAGTTTGGAATTTTTTTTTCCAATTTATCCTGATCATTCCCTTTTCAGGAAAAACGGCTCCTTTCATTGTCTTCTACATACAA